GGGGGCCATTCATGGGAAGAAGAGGATCTCGGAAGACAGGGCGCAATTTGCGCGCGCGAATCAATTTTAATAGGGTGATAAATGCGGCGCATCGCCACGGTAAAATATGGATCGAGCACGCCGCCGCTCGAGAGGGCCGCGCTAAAAATAATATTTCAGTTCGATTGCTCTGATATTTCGAGTCATCCATCATCGTCTCTTCCTTCGCCGACACCGGAGAACGCTCACGGGAAACGCCGAATACGTATACACGTACTTCTTCTTCTTCGGCCAGGAGGGGGGATCCTCCAAATTCACACGGATTTCACTCTCCTACTCATTCTAGGGCCATTCTACTTCGTCGCCCTTGTGATCGTCGTAATCGATCCCTAGCGCTTCTCTTATTATCGTTCGGTAAGTTTGATTTCGGCAATTTGAGCATTTCGCGAAAGTAAGGTTGGAAATAAATTTTATATGTGATTATCGATCACGAAATAATTGAACTGTAGTTTGAAAATTATTATTTCGAACGATTGTGGAGGGTGGAAATAAGTTTTGTAATTATGGATCACAAAATGATTGAATTGTAGTTTGAAAATTATTATTTGGAAAGTTTGATTTGAATATTTTGAAAATTATTACTTGGAAAGTTAGAATTGAATATTTTGTGAATATCGAACGATTGTGAAGGGTGGAAAATAAATTTTCTAATTATGGATCACAAAATAATTGAACAGTAGTTTGAAAATTATTATTTGGAAAATTCAATGTAAATATTTTGAAAATTATTTTGAAAATTATTTTGAAAATTATTATTTGGAAAGTTGGATTTGAATATTTTGTGAATATCAAACAATTGTAGAGGGAAAATAAATTTTGGAAAATAAATTTTATAATTATGAATCACAAAATAATTGAACTGTAGTTTGAAAAATTATTATTTGGAAAGTTCGATTTGAACATTTTGTGAATATCGAACGATTGTGAAGGGAGGAAAGTAAAGTGGAAATAAGTTTTGTAATTATGGATCACAAAATAATTGAACAGTAGTTTGAAAATTATTATTTGGAAAGTTGGATTTGAATATTTTGTGAATATCAAACAATTGTAGAGGGAAAATAAATTTTAAAAAATAAATTTTCTAATTATGAATCACAAAATAATTGAACTGTAGTTTGAAAAATTATTATTTGGAAAGTTCGATTTGAACATTTTGTGAATATCGAACGATTGTGGAGGGAGGAAAGTAAAGTGGAAATAAGTTTTGTGATTATCGATCATAAAATAATTGAACTGCAGTTTGAAAATTATTATTTCGAACGATAGTGAAGGGTGGAAATAAATTTTGTGATTATCGATCACAAAA